GTGTCAGAAGGACGGGCTCACATTACGATGGAAAATCCTGCGGTGAACCACTTGGACCTGATCGCAATCTTATCCGAAGTTCCGTGATCGGTTGATAGCACGTGTCGAGTGTTGCTATGAAGAGATACTAATATCTTTGAAGACTTGGCGTGAATTTGGAATCATAAACAACGAAGGCTCCGTCCGCGATAGTACAGCATGAGGGAACTGTCTGAGAATTATAAAGGTATCCATACTCCATAATATAGCATAGCAAACTCTGGCTATTCAGCGACGCATGATCGATCTCCAATAACATTAATCATGCGCTGTGGTTTTCTGTAACTCGTGAATGCTTAATCAGATTTTAGCGATGAACAAGGCGTGTGTAAGTTGGGCAGTCGATATTTGAGCAGGTGAGAAGGTTTCCCATCGTCAAAGATCACTACAACGCGCAATGTTGATATTTTATCAAATTAAGATGAACAAACGGAACGTGGAACTTTTTCCTGACAAAACGGATATGGACGTGACACATGCTATTCAAAGGAAAGAAGATCGATGACCGCCTTCCAAATTCTAGTTGCTGTTGTAATAGCACGTGGATCTTGTTGTTGGTGTCACTCTGCATGGGAATTTTGACGATTGTAACAACAGTGAGTGAGAGAGTTTTTGACACTCCTCACGGTTTAATGTAATTATCAACTTTTCAAGTGGATGCAATCTACACATAACGTAACTTATCGCGTGTAATTCTGTTAGGAAATGGAGCAATATCAGGAGTAAGCGTGATGCCTGTGACGTTAATGTCTTATACTTATTAATATTGCTATTACTTCTTAGCAAAGTAATCATCGAGACATGATGTCGGACGCGGCGTGGGACTGAGGATAACATGTACAATCATTATTAGGATCATACCTTGGAAAGATTACGAGATGATACCATTTAACACTATAATCGAATGTAGACCGAAATATGGGGCTATCTCCAACGCTGTTACAATTGTCTTCTATCGTCTGTTATTTTATTCACAGATGAACGTTCTGTCGCCAATCAATGAAAAGGGCGATTTACGGCTACCATTAGTGTCCCAAAAAACTGTTTGTCGTAAATCATGGAATTGCCACTTTTCGGTTGCGATATTTAATGGTATGATTATATTTTCAATCACGTGGCACAATATTCAACCGCATTCACTTATTATGCTTTTAATATTCTATTACACTTATAGAAGTTAGAAGATGTCCATCGATTCTGTAAGTAGCAAAGGTCAGGATGGTTGGCTGTTCTGTACCGTTGAGCTATTTCTCTGGATACGATAACAATCTATCACAGTTGTCTATTTCGTTTGACGCCATTTATCATACGTGTTAAATGGGAATGATCGTGGGAAGTCGCTATCGTGCCTGTTAGTATTCCCGTTCATTAACTGCGCGACAATATTATCACGGTTCAAGGGTGGAAAGGTAACGATTCGTGCCTTAGATTTTGATGAATTCTTTCTCTACTTTAATCTTAATTTTGAATTGTCATTCTTACGTTAATATTAGACGATTTATTGATTGATTACGGTACGCTCAGCCGTCTTTTGATCACATGTACGTATGGATCATACGCCATAACACGTTCTCTTGGAAATTTTTGACATTGAGGTATCAACAGCAATTCTTCATGCGCCACCACTTATGCTCCGTCTTATTGTGAATGAAAAAATAAGAATTATCAAAGAAAAGGCTAAGAACTTTCCGAAGGATGATAAATATAATTGAACTGCATTTAATTTAATGGTAATCCCTTTTCTTGCTCTAAAGTTAAACTATCTAAAATTAGTTAATTCCCAATATCCGTGATCAATGTGGGCAATAAACATAAGGTTTTCTGGGAGGAAAAAACGCGATTTCATATAACAGATTTTTTTTCCCGGAAGTCCCAATTAGGGTTGCAACGCAAATTAGTAGCGCGTGGAGCTATGTGTACTATTGCAAGACAGGAACATTACCATATGCAACGATCTCCTTATGACGACGAAACAATAATAATTACAGATGGAGGATTATATAACAACGATTCTATGCACCCGGCGTTGATTTTGCGTATTCTTTATTGGAGGGTTACATACACAAAAAAGGTAAGAGAGACATAGTTTATGCACGTGATAGAATACTGTGTCTCTCGCTTATTATTATTACATTCTATTAAAAACATAGGTCACATGCCGGAGAGACCCTGAAGCTGTATGTCGATAGCTTGGTGAAATTTATGTGCGTATTCGAAAATTTACATGCAATGTAATATTTTTAAATTACTTGACAAATGCTCAATATTCTCAATTTAATTAATGCTTATGAATTCAATAATTCTATTAAAATATAGACCCTGAACATCATGACCAAGTTTTATAAGCGCGATCTATTGTGAGGTCTGTGAGCCTGCCAAGCGATAAACTTAAACAAGTGATGTCTCCTTCAAATTTGTCTCGTTGAATGGTTCAATTGTATCGTTCAGCTTGAGGCTATTTAGAATCATTGTCCGCATTCATGTACAGTAGATGGAAGAGGAAATACGACTTATCGAACCGGTCTGTCATTGGTCGTGAAACGCTGAGACAGACCATCAGCATTTAAAGCAGAATCAATAACAACACGCTTTATAAGGTTTCAACAACGTCCTCTCGACACATCTTTGTGATATTATCGGGTTGGCATTTCCTTTCAACGGCTGTTATGCTTTCAACATCCCCATTGTGCAGGTCGATGTGACTTTTCCTGCTACGTCGTTGGCAATCACACGCGGATCATGAGTGGAGGATCTTTTATCCTCTGCTCGGCTAGTATATACGTATAAGAAGCAAGTTCCTTTTAGAAACGCGCAAGAAGACACGACGATCAAGGAACACTTTCGTGCATATATATACTCAGACTACGCCATTGCGTACCTTAGCTAATCTAATTGGGCCAGCTAGCAGTGGAAAACTCAAACTGCAACTCTTGTGGCAAATAATTTTTTTGGTTAGTAATTTTAAATATTGCATACTTTGTGCGGTTTGGAACGGAGTTGATCACTTTTATTCACATCAAAGTGCTCACTCAGCCCAATTTAAGCCGTTTTTATCTATTTACATAACTTGTAAAAAAAGAGAATAAAAGCCAAAATAATGGATTTATCTAGGGATAGGGGAAGTGGGTTTCGTCTAAAGGCTATCGTTGTGAAGGCATTCCAAAGCACTGAGCTTGCTGTCGATTGAATGGTGGAGAGATCTCGGAACAGTACCTTTGGATAGGGTTTTCGAGGTTATTTGGCACATGACCTTTTGGATAAGACATCAATTTCAATGTAAACAGTCCCGTGGCTATCTAACTGAGAGCTAGTGCCTATCAGCCCTGCCTTGACATTAATATGGGTTTTGGTTGATATCTTCGTTTTGCAGTCATTCCAAAGATTCGTATCAAGATTTTTGACTCAAATTACAACGAATGATCTTTGAACAAGAGATTCACACACAGTGCGCTTAATCTAAACGCGTATACGATATCACATACCTACGATATGGCGAAATTGCCGTCATTAACCAAAATATACCGCGATCGTCATTTCCAGGTCCCCGCACTTTTTACAATTAATCATCGCGTCTAGTTCGCTGTAATTGCCAGACCTTATCGTTGTATAAAAAGTGATAGCATAAAAGTTGTAGTCGATCCGAAGGTAATTGGAGCAGTTGGAAAGTTCTTGAAATGCACCTCGTCTTTGAATATTGTCTTATTTACAACACTTGAGAGCGGACATTCGAGGACGGATTATCAATATCTGGAAAAAGAATAGGTTTAGTTAACGCTGAGGCTCTCTTATAAATAATTCACCTCTAATTGCAACTCGATTAATTTCGCGTTTAACCGCTTTATCGTCAAATGGAAATCTGTTACTCCAACGTTACGTCGCGGGCTTAACTATCTGCATCTAGTCGGATCATATTGCCAAAGGACTGGCCGGAAACTCTTGAGCAAACGTTTCCTAGTCTCGCGTTCAAATCCTGCCGTTGGGCAAACTTGTTAACATTATCATTGTATTCGTGAGAAAGTGTGTAACGCTTGATAATAATTGATAGAATGTTAAATCCTTTATGTTTTCTGTTTCAACGGGCTATTACTATCAATATCGTTCCGCCGATAAATGTATCGATTGATTGTTTCTCTCTGGTAAATGTGTCAACTGGTTGTATTTTTCAAAAAGTTTATTGAATTAGTATATATTCCGAGCTTACTGCTGTTAGTAGACAATTGTTACGCTTATTCTATTGTTCATGATTTGAACAAGAAATGTACCGCGTATTGTCAATTTAAGCCTGTTCCCAAGTACAACTATCGATATCATCGAACCAAACAAACGTCGTTCCTTCCGACTGTCATGCCATAACGTCTGTAAGAGAATTTTCCACTACTTTCAAGTTTATCTGTATATTTTTCATACTCGTTTTGATCGAGCATCGCCTTCCGCAAATTTTAATTATATCGATATCTCGTATTGAGATTATGGTATTCGGTCGGTTTAGAATGGGAGATTTTTTCCGCTCAAATGCACGTCAGCGCAATTGACCGTTCAACGTTATTATGAGTGTTTCAAAATTCAGAGTGTTTGCCAACAAAACAATATGTCGTTCAACCAATATCATCCGGACAAGCCACTTTTTAATTGGAATGTAAGCATGTGTAACCTGTTAAGCACTCGACTTTTCGCGAGGAACAACGCTTCTCCCAATCGTTCACTTGAAACTTGTTTAACCTTCCCACATATCTTATTGTCCATTCAATTCTGGTTTCTTATCTTTGCATCTCATCTACATTTCCGTGTGAACAAATCCGAAATTGGACCGACCATGCAGATAGCACTACACAACTGCATACATGTGCAGGGTACCCTCTCATAAAGGATGCCCAAAAGCAGCCAACACGTAAAGCATCAGGGGCTGAGTACTGAAGAACGTAATCCTATAAAATAGGTCCATTTCGCGCAGTCAGAAATTCATGGCACTGCAAAAACGCAAAATGTTAGCTTACGTTGTTAAACTTTCGATAAAACCACCGAACCAAACTTATAAGTCTTGCGTTTCCTTACTTGATACAAAGTATAAAACACTAAACGTCTTGCAACAAATGTCTTTCTTACTCTCGGAACTCTTCCGCGCCTCTTCCGCGAACGCTCGGACAAATTTACTCGAGCAAGCCTGCCTACGAAAACAAGCTCAGCAGCCTATGTTGACACTCGGGGTAACCTTTGTTTCTTGGTCACGACTCAAAAACGGTCAACGACTTTTTCCCCAACGGCGGAAACTGCAGCCTTGCGAAGCAAAACTGCGTGTATTATAATTTTACCTAAAATTATTTAAAAAAGAAAGCCGGGTGCATTATAAATTATAGTTGCACCCGAATTATTCAAAGGAAAGCAGGAGGCTTTCAACTTAGCCATCAGCGCCACTCGCTATCGATTTGGCCAATCGGGGCTTCTGGTGGCTTTTGATACGGCCATAGTGAATGGTAGAGTTAGGTGTTAAGAACGATAGAGTTAGGGAAATATTGAATGAAGAGTGTTCTTAAATAAATGTATAGTAGTATGAAATTTCAGTAACCCGAGTGTTCCTGAATATTTGTATAATCAGATGTGTAACTTTACTAATAAGAGCGTTCTTAATAGAAGTATAGTCACAAGCGTAAATTTTACTTATAAGAGTGTTCTTAATAGATGCATAGTCACAAGTAAATTTTACTAATAAGAGTGTTCTTAAATAAATGTATTGTTTACTAATAAAAACATTAATTAATTTTCTACATTAAACATATAAGCCCAATGATTTACCGTCAATCAATTCTTATGCCCAGCGGTCATTGTGCATATCAATAATAACGCTATAACGAGGTGTAATTTATTTGATTATTATGATCATCATCATTATTTTCGCTTGGTTGTCGAATATTGCCTTTAGAAAATGTTATGACAGTCTTGTTAGTCTTGTCTCAACGGTAATATTTGCAGTTACCCCATAATTTGCGGAAATAACGCTGAGCATAGAAAATTTTTAATTAATTTAATTATTCTAAAAAAATTATTTATTTGGATTTCGGGCTAAATGTACTGGTACGCCCCTGTTGTGTTTTGTAAGATGAAGATCCACAAAATTTTGTGTTGCTGTTTTTTGAATTCCTTAATATTAGATAAGCATCTCATGATCGATTCGCTAGCACCAGGAACAGAATAGCACTAAGCTGTTCTCCGTAAGGCGGAAAGGAAGCCGTGAAGAGTAAGTGGACGAAAGATTGTCGAGACAGTACGATGACTATTAAACTAGCTTTATTGATGTGTCTTTCATTTATTTCTCTTTAGACACTTGGTGATGTTTACAATCTGGAAGTCTCCCCACTTTTTCTAATATTGCGCTACTCACACGAGAATCTCGAACTTTTTTTGTTTTGGGTAAGCTTCATTATTGCTAAGCTATGGATAAAGTTAGACGAGTTATCCTTCTCGACACATTCCCATTTTTTGATTAAAACTGCGTTCCCAATCACATTAATATCTCGACGATAACTGCAGTCCCAAAAGAGATAGGGATAAATGCGCAGGTATTCCGACTTTGATGTTTGTGGTTACATAAAGAAGCAACGATGAGATGTGTTAGATGTGATAATGAGTCAGCGGGTTACGAACTGAGCAGCGGAGATAAAAAAAATATGCATTTTAACATGAGAAATCGGGGCTGTTCATATTATGAAGAACAGCGATAAAACTAAACGCGTGGAGTTTAAGTACCATAAATTGATCCATGTTCTCACCATTCAATCTAAACTGTTGGCCTATGATGAAGTTTGGACGTTATTTGAAACAATCGAATACTTGGCAAGTTATGGTCATATCATACTGAGGGGGCGCCTTTGATTGTTGCGATTGTCTGTGTTAATGATTTCATTATAACGGGTTTTCGCGAGATAAAGACCGAGATGATGCAAAAGTTCACTTAGAGGCGTTCTTTCCACTGCGTGTTAAAATGGTAAACTGATGAATGTCATAGATAAATCTTATCTGTTGAGGTCTTTATTGGACACATATGAATAACCCTAACTTACTGTGCTGTCTACCGCAAAGTGTACTTTTTAATTCATCGCTTCCATTGCAAGATTTTAAGATCTCAGTTCAAGTCCTCATCCAATATATATGGAACAATCCCACTTATTCATTTACATAACAGATTAGAAAAACGTTAACTCGCTATCTAAAGAAAACGTAAAAAAATAGTCAAAATTTTACACGTATAGAATATGACTGAATGTTAATATCCTCCTTGATAGAAAAGAAGTATATTACCTCGCAAACAGATGCTTCAATGGTGCAGGACATGATTTGTCTCTGCAAATCTCCAGTTTGCAGTTGTGAATTCAAAACTGGAGTCAAGTAGTTTATTGCAAAAAACACAGATTGGTAGGATTTACTTTATCAATTTTATTTATAAATTAAATTATACCGGGCTTATCCATATTGACGAGTATTCTTGAATAAACCTGCCATCGTTTGAAAGCATTAGTGTGGCTCACAACATGAGAATTTCTAATTCTTATTATCTCATGACTGGACTATACATCAACATGTAAACATGCATATTTTGTGCTGCACGTTCAATGGGAAAGCTATTGGCGTGCATGTCACTATTAAGTGTCATATCTCAGATGAGATGGTTAGAACCTGTTTCCCGAAGCCACCAGCATCTTTTTTTATCGAGAAAAAAATTTTATGCAACACGTTCATTTGTTTTGAGTGCGATTAAATATATTGCTGTGTTATGTATAATTATGATAGAAAGAATACGTATCTAAGTTTATCGTTATCTCGAAATAATAAGTGAGAATACAGACGGTCCATACAATGCAATATGTGTAACTTATATTGCATATATTGTACAATTTTACAATGGATTACGGGAAAAGTAGAAAACATGTATGCCCCCTGTCATGGTGAGACGCAATGTGCATATCTGCATAAAGAAGGCATACTGCATATGGAAGCATATCGATGCATAACATTCTGGTGATACAGCAGATGGCGTTCAATGTGTTATTTAAATTCTTCGTCTAACAAATATCTAACAAACAATATTGTTACATACCCAACGTTTATTATTGATAACATTTTCTTCAAGTTTTTGCAATAATACCCTGTCAATCAGAGGTATGGAAGAAGATAATCTTTATTAAAACAGATGTCAATCACATCGTACATGACGAATGTTGAACAAGCCTCTTAAAAATATTGTATAACGTCGAGTGAAAAGATACAGCTGCCTGCTGATTACCAAATTCTATTAACGTTTTGCCAGCTTTGTATATGCGTTATTGTAATAATAATGTAACCGTGTAGTTAATAGCAATGGTATGTTTCGTATGTCAATCGTTAGTAGCAATATTATTTCCTTGGATTAATAATTAGACCAACGGCGATATTTTTAATTGAGATAAGTTTATTTACTGTCATTAGTGCACCGAATATCAGTGTAAGTATAAGGAATAAACAAGTTAATACATGATGAAAAAAAAATATCTCGCTGTTATCAACAACATGGACCCTCAAAGGGTGATTGAACTTATTATCTATAAATAAATTAATATATGCTAAATAAATAGATGCATTCTAAATAAATCGATGCATTGCTAAATAAAATAGATGAAGCAAATATTATCTGTAATCAATATTTGTGGATAATCTTTAGTTAACTGATACATCAATTGCCACATGCTAATAAATTAAATAAATACACACATGATAAATAATAGTGAATGTGTTGCCTCGTCAACGACTTCCAGGAAAGAGATGTATTGCTTTAAGACGTTTACCCAAATAACATCCTAGTGCTGTCCAAGGTAAGCTGAGTCTTCAATTGCTGCGGTTTAGCCATAGGTTAAACGTCACAGCAAGCGATTCGATAGATTTACTGGAGATGAGTTTCTTTTTTGGCAACTTTATTTAAACTTATGAGAAGCAAAAATCTATTATTACAATAAAAAATGTAACAGTTATATTAACGTTAGCACATAATCGATACCTGATATCAAACCGGTGTTTGGTCAACTACCCGTCGGCTCAACTGTTTACCCTATTTTCTGAGAAGAGCTAAATTTATTTTGACCCGTGTTCAAAGTCTTTTATAAACCAAAAGTAAGTCGCTGATACAATTCGTGGTTATTCCTTACGCGCTCTTTTTGTCTCATTAGAATTGTTAAAATTGGTAAAAATAAAGGAGACGCTTTTGTTTTAATGAGTTAATAGAAAGTTAATATGATAAAAGCAGTAATAATCCAATGGTAAGATATTTTTCATCGAGTGCAAATAAGAGTTGATGAGTGATGCTTATTTACAATGAATTACTAGTTCTTTATTGTGTTTGCTAAACCGGTTTATCTTATAGCATAACACTATTGGTATAAATAATTTATTTATTTATTTATTCAATATTCTGCCCAGTCGTGTATATTCTCTAATCCATTCAATCGCCTTCGCCGCCTTGTCCAGATTGGGAATAGTAACTCAATCACATACTAAATTAGTCAATATTTCCTGATTATCTAATATTTGCTGGTAAAATTTTTCGCTAAACCTGAGGCCCGTTACACTCGATGAAGGAGATTGTATTATTCTGTGAATATCAGACTGTAAACACATTTTGGTTAGTCATTTCTATTGATAATAATAAGGTCAAACTATCGAAAAAAATAAACGGCGCAGCGTTGACCAATCATGGATACTGTATCGCTTTAAATGGGTTAGCCAGTATTGTACGCCACTGTGAACACAGGGTTCAGTGAATTCCCCATTATTCTGTGTGTGTTTGTTTATTTATTATCTAATACTAAGGGATGACCGAATATTTATCTGTGCTAATAATGTAAATACACTCACACCCCGTTCATATCCCTACCCGGTTGTATCTCACCCCCGGTTATATCCCCAACGTCATAAAAACAAATATCCTTATACATTGTACACTTATATCCCCAACCCGTTTATATCCCCACTTTGGGGCGAAACAAAAGGGGAGATATAAACGGGGTACGAGTTTAATAGCTTTTTTTTATAGTTCATATGCCTCACGTACGTAAATGTGAAGATTCAAATAACAAAATAAATTATAGTGATGTGACCAGAGTTGATAAAGATGACAGTAATTATGATGGGAGAGCATTTTGCATAATTCTGTAATTAGGATTCTAATCTAATCAAAACAGAACGATGCCTTACGATGGCGTTTGTTTCACATAAAATTGCCTCAAATGTGTGTTACTTTTATCGATCGACCAAAATATTCGGCAAACCCGAACATGCTTTCTAACACTAATCTCAATTCCCAATATAAATATGTAATTTATAGTTATTTATATTATTTATTGCAGATATAACTATCAAAAAAAGGGGTTCACCCATGTGTTCCTCATAATAATAGATCTCGAAAACTCAATATACTGTATATACCATCTTTCATAATATTGCTAGAATAATAAAACTAAGAGGATCAAGAGTACATGTTCGGTATAATACGGATAATTCACCGCGGCCGTTATAATATACCCGACATGTTGATAAGTACCTTATAGAGCGCATACGTTACTATGGCTGATGATGCATATCTAAATAGAGCTGAAGCTGTACCTTGGCGTATGAAATATAAAAGTAATAACAACCAATATTAAAAGCTGAACGACAATACTCTCTCGTCTTAACGCAGACATGCCACAGATTAGTGATGTATGGCCTATGTGAAGCAACATGCTCCTCACAAAGCAAAACGTAGGAATAAATATGTCGCTAACACTTCAGTGACGTAAATTACCTTGAAAACATGCCCTTCGCTTGTAAACTACGCGTTTCTCCTGAAAAATTCACACAGTTTCTGGTACGTCCGTGTTCTTTTGTTCTGATCATCCTTCTGTCCCTCGCTGCTAACAATCCGCGCCGGACTGTTCGATAGTGAATATTGTTATGCATCACCAATAGTATTCGACAGTATGCTTTCCGAAATTTACCGTCAAAATTTTGGTTCCTGGAGTTTCTGGGATCGATCGTATAGAAATTTTCTAGCAGAATGTCATCAAACATTATCAGAAGATCGATGATACACGTATTGGATTTGTCAATGCAACGTTCCAGTAGTCGGAAGCTAGGCATTCGGTCGAGCAGACTACGAATCAGTCTGAAGAGCTTACGAAGAATCTCATAAATCCGTCTTGCGCGACTTCAATTTGCGTTTCCCACATGGTCAATTGAACATTTGCTGCGTCTTGGAGGAGAAGTTCTCTTGCCGCACAGAATCAGTGAGGAGAACGGTGGTGCGTAAGCGACATTGCATATGTTTCCTAGAAAGGTTTACAGATAATTCATCCACATTGAAGACAGTTGGTTGACACTGTTAAAAATCTTATTGTCGCTATCATCAGCTTGGATTTTAAATCAAGTATACGGAGAAATCTTGTTCGTTCTCCTTACGATGAGGACGGCTACAATAAAGTTATCAGAGCGTGTGCATTAGTCAGAGATCTGGAAATACTTGAACATGGCGATAAAACCGAAGTCGGAGAGAAAGGATTACAGTGTCTGGTGGACAAACCAATGTACTGCAGTGTGCCAGAGCAGTTTATTCGCGGGCGGAAAATAATGATTATGGATGATTGTTTGTTTGGTAGTGTGCACACTGTTTCCTCTGCACATATTGAAGTCTCAAAACGACACGTGCGTGCAAAACTAATTAATGGAGAATCGTCCACGTATCTCTAGTTACGCACTATGTCTTTGTGGTGCATCATCTGTTGTAGCAATGAATGATGCTCAGCTGGCAAAGTGTGGTACCTCCGATGAAATGCTAGCACCCGATATTCTTAATGATGCAGGATTCGAAGACGAAGAAGGCACTTTTGCTGAGACAAATGTTATCAAGAAGCCAATTTCACCATCATCGAGCGAGCCTAGTAAGCCGGCGAAGAAAGCGGAAGGAATGGTGGAATGAGAGGTGTACAAGATCTACTTTATAGGATCGCTGATATGGGTACGTTTGATGATTCTATTTTGTTAACTGAGTGTTGCAAGTTGGACAAGGTGAGCTGGGTTTCCGAACATGGTGTTAGTGAGACTTCCCAACAAGCGTATTTCAATTATTTATTCTACTTAATTTCTTTAACTCAGGTTGGTAGATTAAAGAATGGACCAGAGCATACTGTGACATTCGTGAACAATACAACAACGTTCAGCTATATTCTTTTGCTCCACCAGACTATCTACCTCCTCGTTCACTCAATTGTGTTTACCGGTTGCTGAAAGGATAAACTTACTTGATTATTTACGCACTCATTGGTGAAGCAAGCGTTGACGGGCTCAATTATGGCATCTCGAAAATTACGTGCAGCACTTCTTGATGATGCTCACTCACACAATCTTATCTTCTCAAGCACTATCACGAACGCTATCCCGGTGATATCGGTTCCCGCCCCGCGTCTCACCTTCACAACATACCATATTCTCCTTCCTCTTCAACTTTTACGGCCGTCTATCTAATATTTTTGTCTTATATTGTGTTACTCGGTCCAGGAAATCTCATACCAGCAATAAGTCGTACTCAAAAGTTGTACGCTTTGGGTATTTCCTTACAACAGTGAATAATGGTGGTAAGTAATCCATCGAAGGGATGTTGTTAAGTACCTATCTTCTTTCCCTTGTCTTTCAGTATTTCATTGTCACTTTATTAACAATCTGCCAATTTATTTCTATTCGCCATTAGATAATAAACGGAAGGGATGTACATACGTAAATAAATTACTAGTAATAAAACCATCAGCAAAAGTATGGTAATAGTATTAGCAAATGCTTCAGGTTTTACCCATCTTTCTTTGATAGTGCAACAATTTTTATTTAACATACTTGGCCGGTCGAGAGGTGTTGGTCACCCTATCAAATGTGAACATATGATCGAGATAAATAATAGTTATACGATGGAGTCCTTTCGCTTTGTTACTGAGACCAAGTCAACACCTCAATTCTCTGGGCATCATCGAGGAATTTCTGCGTCGGTTGATATGCTAGATGTAACCAAGTTTATTTGAAAGAGCAGGTGGGATAAGCTCATCATATTGTGCACAGATCCCTGCCGCTTTTCATGTAAGGGTTGACGATTCTTATAAAGTTCTGATCCCCATGTTTTAGAGTACTATTTCCTCCAACATCTTTACGTACCTTCTGTTTATCTATGTTTCTAGTTTTAGAGCGCAGAATATGGTTCAAATGTCTCGAATTTTCCTCCTTGTGCAGTAGCGACACAAACTTGTTGATAGTGATTGAAGGCTAAGCCCATTCTTCTAATATATGGAACATGCTTGTTGATGACGCGATTCATCTGCCGCTTTAAGAAATAATTTCGCTAAAATATTTAAAGTCATAATACTGCTTAATAAGTCCTGTTATTAAATATTTTCATATAAGATATACGGGCTCTGCCATAAGAATTAGCGATTGAGATGGTAGTAAAGGTTCTGGCTGCACGCAAATAAAGCCCATTCCCCATACTATCGGAGTCTCCCTATCATCACCGCCAATACTCAACACCATAACCAAGAGCAAGACCATCCACTCCTAAGTATCCACGTCCAGTCAAGAGAAGAGAGCAGAGTTGTTATGATTCATAAATAATTTGTGGTGCGAAGATGAAAGATTCTTATAAACACGGGCTGTGTAATGGTAGAAAGTTAAACACTGGGACAATTTAAAAGTTACACCAACAAGTAAGCGGTACAACATGTTAAAGGTAGATAAGTTCTTTTTTATTCACTAGCCAGCCTCTGAGATATGAAGTTGGAGCGATGTGTCCAAATATTCCAGCAATAGTGTTTTCTTTTATTGATAACCTTTATTGATTCAGGAAATGCTGTAATCAGAGACACACGAACCTATTGATAGGAACTACAAGATGGTGTAATACCACGCGTTCATGGTAATGTGAAAAAAGTACCGCGATGTAAAATCAAAATATCGATATAACCGTTGTTACCGCCGTGAAAATTTTTCTCAAAACTATGCTGCAACGTGGACTACCAAGTCCTGGTAGAAATATCAGTCGCATTACTCAATCGCTTATAGCTTTGCCAGCTGAAACGAGTTATAAATCGGTCTATCGTAAATTTATTGCAGGTGTTGAAAATGATAACACGTTGAAATTGTTAAAATATGATGCGTTTTCGCAAGTTATGGCACCAATTAACACCTTATATTTCAAATCATGAGTCCGAAAGCAGATTTATGTGACATTTTTGGAATGGCTTACAGTATAATGCTCGTAAGGCAGGAGACTTACTAAAGAACATTTAGTTAAGGCTAAATCAGAGAGAACTATTACAACAAAAATACGAAATTAGCAGAACAACAATAAATTAGTAAATGAACATTTTTTAACAAGAGGGAAAGCATTGACGCTACTGCTCATTACAATTACGATTGGGCACGAAATGTTCGCGTGCCTCATTCCAATCAACAGGTAAGTAAGGTTTATTTATTTGGTATCCAAAATGAAGCAGTACGCGAACAAATTAATTACGTTCTCGATGAGAACGAAATAATAAGGAAAGCGGCCCGATGACACTTTAAGCATGGTATTCGATGGAATTAAGAGATTGAATAAAGGCGAAAGATTACTTGGGTAGTCAAGTAAAAATAATGTTACGATTTGATTTTATCTGTATTTGGTAATTTGCGGTTATTATAAAAGTATTAAATTTCATAGTACCTAATTCAAATGTGATGGTAATTTCGGACTGGTTAAGAAATTATACCGCACAAAGACAGTAGAGTGTTGTTGAAGCTGTGAAAAAATCGAGTACAACTGGATTGAACAGAGCTCAGCATTATGACAACGGAAAAGCCTTTCAATATTTAGATCTCAATTCTGAAGTCGGGAACTTTCTTTAAGAAATTGAGTGGTCTACAAAAATGTCAGCATTTTGTTGTTGAAGCAACTGATCCTGGAATTGTCAAAGCTTAAATGGTTGCTAATAGTATTTTTACTGAATTTAATTTGTTAAAACTAAAAAAGCAAGTATTTTTGAAATTACCAAAAAATTTAAATCTTGTTCAATCCTAGCACTGGCCCCTGACAGGAATATTTTTACTAAAACATTCGTGCATTTGTTTAAAGGCATTACTTGTCCAAAGCCAGTTTAAAATCAAACGGGCTATAATAGTAAGCGAAGTTCTGTAAATGGAAAAAGGATTATTTAATTGGCTTTTATTTAAATACAGGAAGTTTCACCACCTGCTGAAATCGAGTCTTGATCTTATTAGCTAATTATTCGACTCTGGTTTGTTTTTGGCTAAAGAAGATAAAGGCTTAAGGGTTAGATAATTTTTTGTTTTCTTAATTCTTTTAGCAAGTATTTCTGTAATTCTTTTTCTTTTCTGGGGGGGGTTTTTTTGTAATTCTTGAATGCTAAGCATCTTGGTGTTTAATGCCTTTTGAAGGTTAGCTAAATATTCTCTCCTCTTTTTCCAAATCATTATATATTTTTGATAACAGACAACATCTTTTGAGTATTCTTTTTTTTTCTCTTTCAACTAATTCCTTATATGCCAGCTGTTGGGAGAGGGTGAGTACAATCAACAGCTGCCATTTCTTCAATGACTAGATTCAATTTAACTGGTAAGAATAGGGTTGGGTTGTTTTCATCCTAGATACTTTCTAATTCAAACTGGTTGGTCAAGAGGTTTCAGCTACTTTCTATAGGTTCTCTCAGAGCTTTTTAAACTACCATTGTAATCAGCAATATCTTGGTAGTCAGTATCACAGTATGTATATTAATTATAATATGTTACTTTCTGTTTATTATTAACCCTTCTGTTCCCATGCTACTCCATCATGCGATTTTTGCCTAGTTTTCTATTCGTACCCGTTTTGAGAATACATTTATGTCGATCTTCATACACCATCATAATCAATGTTTACAGAACGCGAGCACTGGTAAAGGGGTGAGCAGAGAGGCGTCACCGGTAACTACCCGCTACCCGATCCAGATCCGAAGATTTTGGGTAAGTATTGAGTAAGTATCGCATTGTTTTACGTTATAAACTAACTCTATCTTCTTTCCTTTTTCTTTCTTTCCCCCCTTTTTACTTTCCCTGATGGGTATGCTGGGAGATCGGATCCAATGGGACTCTGGTGGAGCTGTGGATCGAGTTTGAGGGACTGATTCGGTGGTTACTTAGCTGCTTGTGAAGGATCTGTTCCTGAAGCTGGTTAGAGATGAATAGTGAGTTTGCTGCTTGGCATGCCAATTGAAAGCGATAGTTATTTATGTATCTACCCATTATATAGATTACAATCTAATACATTAACATATAAATTTAATTACTATGTACAAAAAGATATGAATCAACGGAAATGCGTAATTTTTACTGGTGTGAGAAATGCGTAATTTTTACTGGTGTGAGACAAACTTTGACTAAACCGTGATTTTAGCTTTTACAATTGTTAGCAACGCGATAGAAATAAAATAATGGTGGCCGAATGTCAGTTTAAACTAAGATAGGTATCTTGGCAGACGTTATCGGAATTAACATGACAATGATTTTAAAAGTCATTATAAACTACTGATTTTAGTTAAAATTCTTTGTCTAGCTTTTGGGGGGAATAGCGTCTCTTTAGTTATGCTCCAAATACAATACGACTGTGACATCTTTGGATTCAATTATCGTAATAATCCTGGCATCAGCAAAACGAATGCCAGCGTCATTGAAATACCATTAACAATATGGCCGATAAGTTGGTATTAATGTTTGTCTCGATGTAATACATTCCATACGCGTCACTATCACCTGCGCAAATCTAGCCCCCAACTCCGAAAGTTAAGTTGCCCCAACTTTAACCCTACTATATATATCGTCCGATAAACAATAACCATTGCAAAAAACTCCATCCATTACAGTTATAAACAATCAAAATAAAAACTTCTTTAAACTTCTAATAATTCCATTACAAACAACAGTGTCATGGAACTTATCGAACATTTTTGGAAAACAATAACAATCGGATATATTAAGATATCGTAAATAACATACAGTAGATTTAAATTCTATATACTGTATATGTTCGCCCTTCCACACAGCAAGCTAATATCTGCTATATCTATACTTACCATTCTTACCTAATATTTGTACATTCTTACATACACCGTTGACAAAACAGTTCCGCGTTTACTCCCACAATACAATGCAACACATTCTACTTGACACAACACTCTATTCGCACAACCCACTTCTACAAATCCCATTCACGCCTACTCGCATTCACAACACAGCATAATATAACAACAGTATCATGGATGCTTTCATGCTTGGCCGTTGGTTGTTATAAGTGTCTTAATAACGACCAGAAAGCATTCGAATTTTATCAGAAAGGGCCGACCAAGGACATCCCATCACACAATGTCACGTTGGCGTTTGCTAAGCGAGGGAGAATTTGTAGCAAAAGACGAATAGAGTTTTATGAAAAAGCAGCAAATCAAGGATACCCTGTCGCACAATATAATCTCGGCATCTGTTACTGGAATTGAACAAGACGTCCATAAAGCCTCTGAGTTATTTGAAAAAGCATCTAAACAAGAATTAGACAGTGCACAATTCAGTCTCGGCTTATGCTACGAAAAGGGGCTCGGAACCGAAAAGGACGTACACCGGGCAGTAGAACTATATCGAAAAGCCGTTGTCCAAGGACACATTCTGGCACAATACAAACTCGGAATGTGCCATCAATTCGGAACCGGTGTAAAGAAAGATCCTCACAGGCCGCAATTTGCACTCGGTTGGTGCTATCGTCGGGGATTGGAGTAATAAGAATTATCAAAAAGCGGTCGAGCAAGAATATATCGATGCAATGCAATCTTGCCGTCTGTTACTATAAAGGCGAGAGACGAGAGCAAGGCCATCGAGTTGTATCAACGAGCGCTTGAAAAAGGATACGCACCTGCTCAATTTGCTTTTGGGTGTTGTTATAAAATGGTTGAAAAAGATGAACAAAAAGCGGTCGACTTCTTTCGAATGGCTTCAGAACAAGTACACGCACCTGCACAATACAAGCTTGGCAAATGTTATCTTCGCGGATTTGGAATAAAAAAAGATAAACAAGAAGCGATTGAATTGTTTGAATTGGCTGCCAAACAGGGATATTCCAAAGCACAACATTTACTCATATGCTTAGTTCGTGTTATTACTATGGAATTGGAGTGTAACAGAATTATGGAAAAGCAGTCGAATTATATGACGAAGCGGTGAGACGCGGGATTGTTGTAGTTCGTGAAGACAAAGATGAGTAATTACATATGACACAACAATTATAACGCTTGCTCGTGGCGTTGAAAGATATAATGACGAGTAAAAAACGATATTATATTTTTGTTAAATACCCATTATTTTAAGTTTGTTATTGATAGTGTTCAAATTTAGTTATATATTAGTATTAATATTAATGGCTCGTTTCTTTTAACTTACAATACAATAATAATAACATGAATAAAGTTATTACGTTACATCGTGTCACATGGTAAACAACTCGTGAATTCCATTCAATGCATATTTTTAACCCGCTCAGTAGACAAATTACTGAAATCAAGTTTAGGGAAATACACTAATGAACGTTGGCCGCTCACTATTCTGCAAATCCATTAAAAAATTTTGAAACACTTGTTAGACGAAATACATGCATAAATTCTCTTAATTCGACATTCTCTTCCTCAGGCGTTCGAGGATTCCGGACACGTCACGAGTAGATCTGGTAAACGCTTGTGATAGTTGAAATGCGATACCTTCCAATATCCTATCGCATTACGATAACATAAAACCCAGGCGTGTCTTTATAAATTATTCACCTTATATCCAAATTCGACATGACACGCGAATTGATGAAAGAAATCACAAATGCCCGAATTGCAAATTCAGTTTTATAGTGCCAAGAAACTGTTATTCAATCTTCAGAATGCCGAGCTTACTTTAGAGACCTCACGAGAAAGGATACCACGCTTCGATGGAGCAAGATGAATGGTATGTTGTAATATCAAGTAATCCAGTGGTTACTACGTCAAAGTGCTTATTATATGTATTCTTTGAAACCGAGCAACCTTAGCTTGAGTAATCCAATCACTGAATCGAGAGCCAGAGAGTCCGCAAAGAAACATATGGTTAACATAAATGAAACAAAAATATAACTTGCATGACGAATATATCAAACAGCGTTCTCCAACCTGGAGCGGAATGGTATGTCAAGCAAACTTTTTGGGAGTCTGAATTACGAAATGACCGGACGGAGAAAATGGAATCTGCAATTAATAGTTTGTTTCGCTGATCCTTCCTCTCAATTATGTGTTCTGCAGAATCGAACTAATATATTTGCGGTTAGAATTTGTAACTTACATGCGTACGTCAGTCAGTCGTTACGACGCTGACAATGTTATGAGTGGAGATTAGTGTAGGTAAGATGTTATTGATAGCATTGAGAACGGCTTCGAGAACGACTTCGTCTCAGACTAGGAGTATTTATCTTCTTTGTTAGGTGTTGGAACAATTACGTCATTGCTGTCACTCGCTGATGATGATAATGCAGAACTTTAAGGAGGGGGTGCAGTTGATAGATTGGAGGGGCGAAAAGATTACTCTGGGAGATGCCCGTCCGATGAAGGACATTTGCTCTGACAAAGAGGTGATATTGCAATGATGGTGCAGGGTTGTGGAGTAGGCGTTGTGGTGTTGTAGAGAAGTGATTGGGTTGAAAAGAGATGCTTTATAGTGAAATTATTTTGTAAATGCTAGGGTTTTCTTTCTGTAACTATACACGTGATATCCAATTCTTACATACTTGATTTGTAATTATGTGTAATGTTGGGTCAATGTGGAAGGTTAATTATCTGCTTTAGATAGTCATGAGACGAGGATAAATGATTGGGAGAGATGGGTGAATTGACCCATAAGATATGCATTTAGTCGAACAAAGTGATAGTACTGAGTTACGTGTGAACCCGGTTTCATCGATACGGACGGTGTGAAACATGTGACTGGATGTAGGGATGAGTTGCAATTGCCGAATCAATCCTCCACTCTGACTAAATGTCCTGTTGAATCTCAGTCAATTGATTGACTGTCTCTCCACACTTTGAATACTCCAAGACTCATTTCAACTGAATATCTAGACGTTTTCTTTTCCAGTTAATGGACAGGTTAGCAATGTTATCAATACGTTGTTGGGTGAAGGTAAATAAAGACGTGGCCATGCACGGGAAGACTGCGCAACAAAGCCATGCAAAGGGCCAATGTCGTCGCGGAGGAAGGTTGTCATCAAAAGGCAATCGTTAATCTGATAGGGTATACACATAAACAGTTTAAGGATTAGGAGTATCGCGCGCAACTTGACAAGAAATATGATTTTTCTGGGAACGTAAATCAATGGTATGATTTATATTTGTATACTAATCAAAATACTATTTGACAGGGGGAAAAAAGGCTTGGAAACATTCTACGTACAACACTGTTCAGCATTTATTGCTCAGAAAGCTTCTCTCCGTAAAACTGTCATGTATACAGACTTTGAAAGGAGAAGAAAGAATAGGGAAACGCGAAAATCTGTTTTCGTGACAGTGATTGCACTTTTATCAGATTAATTTGTTGCACATGAAGCATATGATACATCACGACGACGAATTTTATTATTATCTGCATGTCCTTTGGAAGTATACCAACTCGTTCTGTTCAAGTTTCGATAAATGACTACTGTTCAAGCATTATAATTTTTATTATGCGTTGAAAAATTCGGTTAAGATTAAACCGAATGATGAACTTAACATCAAACACCAGATGGTAAGAGTCGTTCGAAATATTAACGTCCCTCACTTATCAAGTCGTTAGGTCATGATCGATACAGTTTAACTTGCCGCAAAGGTAATAGGAATGTTGATCAATGATGGCAATGCCCAGATATACTGTAATTAAGCATACTAATATATATGCTCGATATTTTCAATTCTCAATGGTGACTTGCCGTTGTGTGATCTGTAAAAGCGTTTTGAATGTATGTCTGTTCTTTCTCAAATTCTCTTTTTCCAAGCTACACCAAATACTTGCTTTGTTTCATTCGTTTATTAATTGATAGGGGTCAGTGCTGTGTACCATGAGCGAATATGTTGCGATTAATCGAATGACTGTAAGCAATGTCCAATGTGACGTACCAATACAAATTATGTTAAAAACGAACAGAGCAGTGTCAATGATATTGACTCTTTATATGCTAGATCAAACTGACCCTCCCCCATTCCCACCTCGAAACTTTTCAAGAATTAAGCATAGCTATTTGTAACAAGCTCTTGTAACTGACAGAAAGACTCGCCTGGAACAATGCCGATATGGGTTTTATTCAATGCTGGTAAACGGCGATATACTGTAATTCATCCCCTTCTTCTTCTTCTTCTTCTTCTTCTTCATTGTAAACCCGTATTCACAATCGCGGCGTACCGTCTCCAATGATTTGTTAAAGTGAATTTGCTCCATTTTTGGCATGTCCAGTCCCATCTAACGAAAATACGTGCGTAGATTAGTAGCAATGAAGAAGAAATCGTTCAATCGCTGTTTTCATGGGATAAATTTGTCCAACACTCACAACATGCTATATATGATAGCAGCATAGCATTGAGATGCCAGCCAAATTGAGAGGTATGCACGTTAAGAGTATCAAGTCATACAAATCTCAGGAAGCAACGGTTTCTCTGCGATTTCTCTGCGGTTTCCTGCTTTAGTTGCGGTTGCTCTACGGTTTTTTTACGGTTTCTTTACGGTTTCTTTACGGTTTCTTTACGGTTTGTTTACGGTTTTTTTACGGTTTTTTTACGGTTTGTTTACGGTTTGTTTACGGTTTCTTTACGGTTTCTTTACGGTTTCTTTACGGTTTCTTTACGGTTTAATACGGTTTCATACGGTTTTATATTACTACTATTACCGTAGATCATCAACAAACCTGTTGTGCAAAATTCCGTATCTTGGTGTGTTGTAATGATTGCCTACGAGTGTTTGTACACGTGCATCGATCTTCATACAAACAATTCCGCAGCTTTTTAATAATAAAAAGTTTAAATATTTCATTATTTTCCCTTAAAAGTACAGTCAATCAGCTTCATAACGATGTAAAAAAATTTGTTGTTTGTTTAGTAAGTAACGCCAATACAGATTTTCGAAAAAATAGATTTTTCATATGTTTTACTATTGATCGGCAAATCCCTTTTGGTAGTGAGCGTATTTCTTGGTTTAGACATTTCCTGTAAGTAAGAGTTTACAAGAGTATTTACTCAGGACAGAAATAATCAAACGCTTTGAGAATTCCCTGCATATAGTGTATAACAAACTCTGATGTGTAAAATTTCAGATCGATTGGATGTTTACAGCAAAAGTTTCAAACATCAAATTTATATCTCGATCCCTTCCTAACCGAATCTTGTAATTTTTTTATTTGTTTTCCTAGACCATCAGCATGCGTTTAAATGATTGTTGAACAAATTACCACTAAAAAATTGCAAACTCATACACGTTTATTGTCAAATATAGTAACAGTTTCCGCCTAATTTTGACTAATATTCCAAGAAACATAGAGAACGTAAAATTTAGCAAACAATACAAAAAAGAAACGATTACAAACATGTGGAGATATGGATTTTTAAAGTTTATGTCCCTAATAAACGTCATGCGGTTTCATATGTTTTTAACAAATAATAGTGACATTCTGAATCTCGGTGTAACAAACGCAGTAGCTTCGGAATACACCAATGTCAAAGGAAATGGACATATTAAGTGTCCGTAAAAGGCAAACATGTCAAAGAATCTGGACCTATCGATAAATTAAGTGCGCAACGTTATTTAATGTGGCATTACTGTTTGACATTTGAGTAATACATATGTACAAAATATTTTCTCATCCAACTAAATTTTTTGACATTAATTATGATAGCTAAGCGACAACTTCAGCTGAGACCTTCAGAGATCTCATAATCCTTGCATTAGAATAGCTCTTTATATTCTATTAAAACAAATATATTTATTTTTTTCGTGATTATTAATTCTGGTAATAAGATATAATGCCAGTGTAGTCTCTGATACTATTGGAATACAAAACGTAATCTCCGGCCGCGCGTTCTTCGGGTTATACTCGCCCTTTAACCTCGAAGCTGTCTTTCGTACAGAATTATTATTTATTTCTTTGCGCAAGTTTGGTAGTCTAGTTTCCCAAACCGATAGGATATTAGTAAATTTCGTTACTCTGCTGCAGTTTTGGTTGGCAAAATTGTAAAAGACCCGGGTATTATACAAATTATTACGGTGTCACGTGATAAAAATTAGTATACACTATAAGTTTTATTCGATCATCAGTCATTTTCATAATTTTCTAACATATCTTCTTCTATGTTATTTATTGACATTACGATATTAACGCTACCCCATATAAACACATGATACACGGATCGATGTATTTTGTTACATTAACAATTGTGAGGGTGGCAGTTTAAGTTGCAACTTTGCGACAAGCGCATTGGACCGTTGAACAACTAGTCTTACAACTACATCTAATCTTGGTTAAATTGCCAAGCTTTGAGCCCAAGCGGCTTTATCATTTTGGCAGAATGCAGGATACGTTAGTGATTGTCTTTCTATTTGTAGGCAAATACAATTGTGAACAAACATCGCTTGATCTGACATATCATTGTGAAAGAGTGCTTTGAGTCACTGAATACGTCGGCGCAGTTCATTCTATTAGTGCGGGAATGCAAATACAATCAGTAAACATATTGTGAATATACATGAGTCACTGTGATAATGACTCTTCTATAGTGAAAGACGAACGTATTAAATAGTGTAATAGACAAAGATATGCTTTGACTTACTGTTACAGAATACGTTAGCAGCCATAATCCTTCTATTGGTAAGTAAAACACATTGAACATTCGTGAGAATAAAAAATCCACTCAATTCATGGCATGGTATTTCAGGTGCATCTACTACTACCAGCCAACTTGTCAACCAAATTTGGCTAAAATACGACAGATCTGCAGTTTCGATTTACAGTCGATTGCCGATAATTCGACCACTTGCGGTCAGCGGTCATCGGTCGAATTAACGTAAAGGTCGAATTAACGAATATCCAATCAGATGTACTTAATGGTAACACAATTTTATCTTAACATAAGAAACTTGTAATAGTAATAGATGGTTGCTTAAGCAAAGATAAACGATGCAATTCAATTTGATTGATAAGACTGTGTTGTATGTCGGTTTGGAATTTATGTCCATTCCGGATTGGAATAATAAAGACAACCAGGTAACAACATTCTAAAATCATTTATTGGCATTATGATATCAACCCTACTTGCGTATAAACAACTGAGTTTGTTATAAATATATGCCACTTTAACGTTTGTAAGTTTTAGCATAAGAATAACTAATCTATATAAGCGCAAGTCACTTGTGATATTACCACTTGCGTCTTTATATTATATCGTTCATATACACTTGAATCTTATTTCATGATACCATAAATAGTATTACACGTAACAAATT